TCAGAATAATGAGCGCCTTATGCACCTTTTCAATGTTGTTAAAACACATCAAAGGCTGTTTACTGAGTAGAACTTTGCACTAGGAAATTGATTTGTCAAATTCATGTCTTTTTAAGGCTGCGTTGGTTTTAACTAATTTCTTAATTATCCAAATGAACCCAACCAATCCACAACTTATTCTAAACAGTCTTGTTCAACTCGATGGTCACGACTTTTCTATTATACAATTTACACAATATTGTTAACAGTTCAAACATCATTCTTGAAGTGCGTGACGTAATATGATAAATATTATAAAACATGTATTATGCGGATACCATGTTGTGCAGTGGATAGGATATTGAAGCGTCACTGAAGGCTGAGTTGTTTTACTTCAACTATAAGGTAGCGCTCTCTATAATGTTATTTAAACTTGGTTTCATTGGTTTCAATGCAAGGCAGGTTTATTCAAGATTCCTGCCAAAAGTGCACGCACGTAATCAATGACAAATTTATTCGTTGCAGAGCTGTCTTGTAGTTTTTATGCCCAAACTTACAAGCTCCAACGGAACAATTGTATTGTATGTCTCTATTCAACCTTTGTCAGTTCAAAATAAGCACCGACTTTTAAACTCCAATTGTTCCGATTGTTTGTCTTTTACACTCACATAAACATCCATTTTCCCCAGGATTACGATTTCAAGGGCATTTTTAAACTTGAGCAGCCGATGGAAACGTGGAGGGTCCGGTATGCAATGTATATGACCAACAAGTAATTCGAAATACAATTGCCATTCGCGTCTTTAATCATCTTTAAAAGTCTTTTGCCATCTTTAGGTTGAGAAACGTCAGCTAGTCTCATGAGGTTGCAGTCTTTTTAACATCACTACACCCTTCAACTGGATTGAACAAAATAGTTAGTCCCTCATTTCGCCAATTTTCCTGTTAAGATTGAAGATGTTTACTCCCACAAAAAGTATACTGAAGCTGTCGATGGTTTAGAATTATCCTTCCACAATTGAGTCACGTAGCATGCAGCTCTCGGTCCTTAATTAAAAATATCCACCCATGCTGGTATACATAGATCTTAATTTCCTCCTACGTTATCTACTTTTTTGTCGTTAACGGCAAGAGGGAAACATTC